TCGATTAAAATTTTTAAAAATAAACTTATCAACATCTTAATAAAGTATAATGATTAAATTAACTTTAAATCAACATTGCAATGGCCTTATCGACATAAGTTAATGGATTTAAGGTTAGAGGAATATTATAAGAGTCTAGAATATGGGTAAAGTTTACCATCGATTATAGGGGTTGTTTTTGTTGAATTTTTCGACTATTAAAAATTATAAAATTATCCCTTAATTATAGGACATTACTTTATTGAGTCATCGACTATTAAAAGTTACAGAATGATCATTCGATTATTCATATGTCCCAAACCCGTCATTTTTTGTTAAAAAATCGACAATAGTCTGAGTTGGACGATAACATGTTAGTTGCGATATGATAAAATCTGATACCAATATCTCAAACGACTATCATATTTCAGTCAACAGGTTAATGTCTAGCTCAAACTCTCATTAATTTTTAACTAAAAATGACGAATTTAGAACATATGAATAGCCGGGTTATCATTTTGTAACTTTTAATAATCGATGGACTCAATAAAGCAATACCCTATAATTGAATGATCATCTTGTATCTTTCAATAGTATGAAACTCAACAAAACAACACCCTATAATCGGGATAATTTGTGTATTTAGTCATGAAATATTTGGTAGGTTTAGCTTTTGAATAATGATAATATATATTTTTTTATGTAAATGATATCAGAAGACACTAAAACAGATGAACTCAATGCCTGCCATATGAAGAAGAGCGTCGACTTCAACAGAGAGAACGTGGAACGAATGGAATCCAAAAGGAATAGACGTTTGATAAGATCTATTATATATGTCACCCGTAATTTTGTTGTATCTGTGAGGAACATAAATAAAATGTAAGTTTCAACGTCTAAAATTTAAATTTTGACAATATTTGGTAAGATCGATTATATGTGTCACTAAGGACGAAGCTCCAATAATGATGATATGTAATTTTGATTTAAAGAATATTATTAAGAATTTGACACACTTATGGCAGTGGGTTGGTGGGTGAAATATATAAACGTCTCGCATCCAAAATTTATATCAATAAACAAAAAAATATAATTAAAAATAATGAGTTTTAAATTAACTAAGTTATTTAAATATTTAGTAGTGGTTTTAATTAAGTGGTGGGTTATAGAGATGAAGTGAAAGAGAGGGAATGGCGCCGGCTATGAAGTTTAAGAATCAAGCTTTATTTGAGGCAAGAAAACAACACCTTCCCTCGTATACCCGCCATTCAGTACTCTCTCTCTCTCTCTCTCTCTCTCTCTCTCTATATATATATATATATATATATATATATATATATAAAACTGCACGATTTAAGAGCAAGAAAGCAAAAAGAGAAGGAAGGTTCATGATTGATTGATTGATTTTGATTCTTCCTCAACAAGGATAATAGCATTTGATAAGAAAAAGAACACATGGTTGCTTCTCCATGTTTGAGTGGTAATGATGAGAAGAAACACTGGTGGCTCACCAATAGAAAGGTAAAATACTTTGAAAGCCTTCAACTTTGATCATGTCTTCAAACCAAAGTTTCATTTTTTCTTATAGGAAAAAGTTATTATTTTATGCAGCTTGTAGATAAGTACATTAAAGATGCAAAGTGCCTCGTTGCTACTCAAGGAGCAGATGAGATTGCTTCAGCTCTCAACCTTCTTGACTCGGCTTTGGCACTTTCGCCTCGTCTCGGGACTGCTCTTGAACTCAAAGCCCAATCTTTGCTGTATCTGAGGCGTTTTAGGGATGTTGTTGATATGCTTCAGGATTACATTCCGAGTTTGAAAATGTCAACCGACGACTCTGGCTCGGTTTCCTCTGATAACTCGTCTCAGCAGCTCTCGAGGGAGCGAGTCAAGGTTCTTCCTTCTAGTGACTCGTCCTCGGACTCATCTAGGCCTGACCTGCCTTTCAAATGCTTCTCTGTTTCCGAGTTGAAGAAGAAACTGATGGCCGGGTTGAGGAAGAACGGCGAGAGAGAAGGGAAGTGGAGGTATTTGGTGCTAGGCCAAGCATGTTACCATATAGGCTTAATGGAGGACGCTATGGTTCTCCTCCAAACGGGGAAACGCCTGGCTTCCGCCGCTTTCCGCCGTGAAAGCATTTGTTGGTCTGACGATAGCTTTTCCCTCTCTGCCGCCGCCGCCGCCACAATGCCTCATTCCACGCCTCCACAGAACCCCACTTCTCCCACCGAATCAGAAAACATTTCCCAGCTTCTCTCCCACATCAAGCTCCTCATCCGCCGTAGAACAGCCGCCATTGCCGCCTTGGATGCTGGCATATACTCCGAAGCCATCCGCCATTTCTCCAAAATCGTAGACGGTCGCCGCGCTGCTCCTCAAGGCTTCATCGCCGAGTGTTACATGCATCGAGCATACGCTTACAAGGCCTCGGGTCGCATAGCTGAGTCGATCTCCGATTGTAACAAAACCATCGCTCTTGACCCAACTTGCATGGAAGCGCTCGACACCAGAGCCTCCCTTTTGGAAACCATCCGCTGTTTACCGGACTGTTTACACGACTTCGAACACTTAAAACTGCTTTACAATTCAATCTTGCGAGATCGAAAACTTCCCGGCCCTGTCTGGAAGCATCACAATGTGAGGTACAAAGAGATTCCTGTGAAACTATGTGCCTTAACCACTAAAATTCAACAATTGAAACAAAGAGTTGCTTCAGGGGAGACTGGAAACGTTGATTACCATGCATTAATTGGTTTAAGTCGTAGATGTTCAAGGTCTGAACTTGAGAGGGCTCATTTGTTACTCTGTTTAAGACACAATCCCGATAAAGCTACCTACTTTATCGATTGTTGCGAGTTCGCCGATCACCGTGATCTCGACTCGGTTAAAGACCGAGCCAAGATGTCGGCTTTGGTCCTTTACAGATTGCTTGAAAAGAGTTATTCCAGCGTTATGTGTACCATCATGGATGAAGAAGCAGCCGAGAAGAAAAGGAAGAAAGCTGCGGCAATTCAAGTGAAGCAAACCAATTATTGTAAGTCTAGATCGGAACCTGAAACAAGCCTGGGTTCTTCAACAAGTTTGGACCGGAGTGAAAACAAGAGCACCCCAATTAGTTCGAACACAAACGTGTTCCAAGGTGTATTTTGCAGGGATCTTGCTGTGGTTGGGAACTTACTGTCACAAGTGGGGTTCAATCGTCCACTTCAAGTGAAATATGAGGCACTCAGCTGTTGATTAAAAAGGGCAGACGAAGAATCTCTAGTTCCTTTTCTTTGCAAATTTTTAGTGTCAGCTGTCGATAACATTACTGAATTTTTGCTACTGAATTTTAATTCTTTTCAAATAAAACCATTATTTTTCTATCTCTAGATTGGAGCAAAATAGTACTATTACTTGTGAATATTGTCAGGGAAAATCAAAATTGAGGGAGAAGGTTACAGAGTTTGACTTCTTTTATCTGTCTTTATTATCTGGTTAGCATTTTTTTCCCTCTGGTTTTGTTTATCCACGGACTGACACTGTCTGACATTCCACTAGATTTATTTTATTTGCTAACTGGAGCACCCCCTCGTTATTTAAACGTGGCTTTAATGTTGAAACCTGTGGGGGGGAAAAGGCAATAGCAGTCACCCAGTGTCAGCAAGTTTCAGGTCTGTGGAAAATACAAACAATGAAAGGGTGTCTGATCAAACACTAAAATACAAGAAAGGAATGGAAGCTATAGACCTTTGCCATGGTTTCAGGTCTTACAAGGCAATTGTTCACATGCAATTAAAGGCGAATCAATTCGAAGCCCATGATTGGATTCTTTATGATGTACGCATGCAAATAGATACGTAAACTAGTATAGTTTCATTCCATGCTGTCATTCTTCAAATAAACTTTTCCCAACGATTTTTGCTTTTTCATGGGAATTAAACCAATAATAGTCTTACCAGCAGGAAAAAATCCATATGTATTAAATGATCAAACCAGACGTATAAGAGCACTCTGTTGATGTGAGCTTGTTTCTAACTTCAGCTCAAATTAGTTCAACTTTATAGAACAAAAAAGGTGACAAATCGTCTCTCTCTCTCTCTCTCTCTCTCTCTCTCCTAGCTTAAAGTGCTTTATTAATGTAGATGTTCTTTTCACCTGTTGTTTCCTTGATCTTTTCACTTTCTTGCAACATACCCTTAAGCCTATGATTCTAGTCTTATAATTAGTGGTTTTGTTGAATTCATTACATACAAGGCTATTGACAAGTAAATCTACTCTCAACTCTCAAATTATGTTTTATACATCTCTTGTTAGTTCACAGTTACATAACATCGATACTGTGAAAAATTATGTATTAATTTTCTAAATTCTAACATAACAATTTAAATTTTCAAACTCCACCTAATGATGGTTATGAGTTATGAGCCAACTTATGGTATTTTCTTCTGCCTGTTTGTTCCATTAATTCCTTCGTAGACCCAATTTACACAACAATTATGAACAGGATGGACCTTGACAGGGCAAGTAAGAGTGGTTTCCCCCATGAAAATTTAAAAGTACCATATACATTTTCCATTGAAAATATATTTTCGTCTCCTATAATTTTATAAGTTCAAGTTTACCCCTGAAATTTTATAAGTTCAAATTTACCCCTAACATAAAATCATGAACACAAACATTTTTGGGAAATATGATTATATAAATGGTTTGTTAACCTATCAATGATAAAAGCTAAAATGAATAAGATTTATAAAATCAAGCAGTTCTGTAACAGTGTAGTTCGACCCCAAAATGGAATATTATGCTAAACAAGCCTCTCCAAATTGCTGGACACTAGAACGTGTTATAGAGCAAAGACATATTCAGATACTGCAAAAACTAAATTGTTAATGGAGGGAAAGTAGGCAAAAAAGGAAAATGAGACGAGCAAAATTAGAAAACCTCCAGATATTCCTAGTTTCTATGTAATCTCGTCATGTTACAATGGGAACATCATTAGGACCCAACAATATATATATATATGTTCGTACCATCTATTCCTAGCCGAGAACCGCCTTGATTTCGGCCTTCTGGTCCGCCGTCAGCATCGAGGGAAACAAGACCTCAAAAGTGACATAGAGGTCTCCTTTCTTGTTGCTAAAATGCAATGGCATCCCTTCTCCTTTGAACTTTCTCACCTCTTTCGGCTTAGTAATTCCCTGAGTACGTACAATGCAATTCATTACCTCCTAGTTTAAAGTTTATTTCTAACTTGGGATCACATCTATTGGTTCTGATGCTTACCTTAGATCCAATGTCCACTAAATGGTCATCAAGGTGTTTAATGGTCTTCTCAAAACCAACAAGAGCTTGAACCTGGAGCATGTCAAGGACAGATAATTAGTTCCATAAGGTAATGGAGGATGGTCAAGACCGATTCAGATATTAATAAAGAAAAATGAGACTTACTAGTGTTATGGTGACAGTGGTGTGCAAGTTATTGCCTTCCCTCCTAAATCGGTCATGGGGTGCTGTGTGAATGCGGAACTGCAAGAATCGGCAATTTTCAGTATAGTTGTGGTAGGATTATGGGGTGGACATGAACATGACAGCCTCCAGAATAACAAGGCTATTCAGAAGGATCATAAATTTTTGAATACACTGTTTCTAAAGACTAACCTTCAAATCCCCAGGTTCTCCATCTATTATAGGCTCGCCGTCATCATAAAAAACAAGCTCCTGTAAATGCACCGGGAATATTATTCTAAATCCTGGCACTAAATTATTATCTCCAATAGCGTGTCACCCACGTTTTAAGAGATCAAGAGTGCACCTAGATAAAAATCACAAAAGGAAAAACAGAAAAAACTAATTCTATAAACTTACATGTCCATCTTGCATTCCTTTCTCAATATCAACAGTGACAATATACCCCTCTCGTTCATATTTGACATTTTGGCATTCCTCGCAAACCTGAGAAAAGAAATGGAGAATGATTATAAAAGCTTGATCATGGTAAGATATAACAAGAAGGAAAAAGAAAAACAAGAATAACACAGTAACTGCTATTAACAAAACTCAGAAACCACTGTACCTGTTCGGTCATCTGTTGGAACATCCCTGGACCAATTTGCCTATGATGGACCTCATTTCTGCAGTTACACCGTCGTTTACCGGGAGCTGGCTTCAAGATATTTTTCTCCCTCCAAACCTGGTGAAATCCAATTCAATTTTACTTTTTTATATAACATAAAAATATTGAGAAATACCAAAGGGGGCACGGAAAACAGAGAGGCAAGCACCTAGCTATCAAACCCATCTTCTTTCCCTATAAAGGTTCAAGTTAAGAATGAGATGCACCCTCTGCTTGTTATCATAATTTCTTGAAAATCAATGTATAATTTGTTGATTCAACAGCTTCCTAGGAAACTGTAGAACAGTTAATCAAAATATAAAATTTCCAGGAAGAACTAGTTGATGCCTAATGATCTAGCTCCTAGTTAAGCCTGGACTGAACATAATATCGATTACTAAGCATCATGTGATAACCGATGACGTTTTATGGCTGATAGACAATTAACTTTGACACAAATTTGGTGAACTACCTATTTGTAAAATGTTAGTTATTATTACATGGATCCAATGTTTAGACTAATAACACCTCATATATGCAGATGCTTACATTGTCATACATAGACTAACCAACTTATTTAAGACATTAAATAAGGGATCAATCCATAATGCACAAAAAACTAGGATTCCACACTAGTCAACATGACCAAAAAACGATCGATTAGAGATTTGGGTTAGGGATAACAAACCCAACCAGAAGGAATAATACCTCACCTTAAGAGTACCTCCCATATACAAATCCTCCAGTGTTGCATCCAATTCGACAATAACATCATCACCCTTCAAGATTTTCTCTTCCTCTTCAGCATGGCCTCCACCAAAAAAACTAAAAACCAAGCCCCCATCTTATCAGCAATAGTAGGTGGTTTAATTGAGCATGGTATAATACATTAAATAAAAATCCCTTTAAAACAACTATCAACGTAGGATGACCTGAAGATAAGTCAATACCTAACAATTTATTGGTGATTTCAAACAAAAATCATCCTTAGCACTTAAACATAATCACCAATAAAGTAAAGCTTCTTACTTCCAAAGTAGGAAACCCGAAGTTAGGCAACATCAACATACCTAAAATGCAATTAATATACCTAAACTAAAGGTAGAGAACATAACATAGCAATTAGCATCTCAACTAGAACAATGGCATCAACAATATAATTAAAAGCAATGCAAAATCAATAATGGAGGGAAATTTTAAAAAATCTTACGAGCTGAAAATGTCCTGGATATTGACCCCCATTCCTCCTCTGCCACCGCTGGCAGCATGCTGCTTCAGTCCCTCCTCTCCGTACCTATCATATATGCCCCTCTTTTCGCTGTCCGATAACACCTCATAAGCTAAACCCATTCATCAAAAAGATCAATCATCCAATTAATTCCATCACTCAAAACATTATTATTATTATTATTTAAAAAAATGAGTAAACAAAGGAGGAGGTCTCTTACCATTGCTAATATCAGCAAATTTCTTGTTGGCCTCTTCATTACCAGGGTTCTTATCGGGATGATACTTCAATGCCAACTTCCGATACGCCCTTTTGATCTGCTCATCAGAAGCTCCTTTCGGCACTTGCAATATCTCATAATAATTCTTCCTGCATCATTAAAGCAATATCACCACAAGATTCCCCTACAAAAAGGAAATCTGAACCAATAGAGAGATCGGCGCGTACCCTGCAAATACGACGATCGCGTAAGACAAAGCACATAAGAGAAAAAGAAGTTTCGTTCTTGGAAGCGCCATGGGTATGAGATTAGGAGAGAAACTGAGTCTCTCCTGAACTTCAAAACTGTGTTCACAAAAAAGAAAAAAAAAACTGATTTTTTTTTTTTGCGAGGGAGATATCGGGGAGTGGGGATTATTAAACTGTGGCCTTTGCTTATTTTCGCGAATGGATCGTTGGTTTTTCGATTGGAAACTAGGAAAAGTTAAAACTTGAAGCAAAACAGAAGAAGATCAACGACTTTGACTTCCCAAGTTGGGACTCTGACCTTTGGCTAACGTGTTATTGTGAAAACTGACCAATGAGCGTAAACTTGATGTTGTTTCTTCCAATAAAACTTTTCCACGTGGATGAAGTACGTTCCCCCTCCCCCGAGTCGTATTTCACTCATCCGGTTTCCTGGAAAACGGCAATTCACAAACCAATTTTTAAGTTAAAATGCCATTGATGTTCATTTCTCCGGGAAGAGTTTTAGAACTGTTCTTTCGAATATTTTACGGCAACACATCACTTAAAATGGGATATCAAACTGCATAATTAGTTAAAATATTTTTATCGTATAAATATTCAAAAATAATTTATACGTTTAATACTTAAATTATTAATTTTATTTCATTTAAGTAATTAAATTTTAAAAAAATTAAAATCATTTAATGATAATGTTTATATTACACTACATGTTAACTTTTTAATTATCGTTACTTTTTTTTATTTGCTATTAATTTTTAATTAATTTGATTTGATCAATTAGACGGCAATACATGTCATAATCTATAGAGATAAAAAGGTGAAAATCATTTTTGTACCGAGTATAAATAGATATCGGGTTTTTAATATGATAAACAAATCAAATTAAATTTTATTATATTTTGTATCTAACTTATATAATGATATTATCAATCCGACACGCGTCATCTCTTAGAACCGTTCGACGAGCTCCATAAGAAATTGCGTCTTCGATAATCGTTCTCAGAACTTACAAAGACGTATAATATAGGCAGAGTTGATAGGACAAAGATTATTAAGACTACTAACAAAGACATATAATTTTGTCATAAACCTTTCCACCACCGGTTTCCGAGCAATTCTTCTTCTTCGATCAGCACCTAAAAAAAGGCTTAAAGAAATAAAAGGCAACTTCCTCTTTTGACACCCACAAACCAATGTCATATTATCTTCCACCCCAATTCCAACTAAGATTTTTTGATGTTTCTGCTTAATCCCGAACTAGCTTCAAAGCAACGAAGAATGAGCTTTAGATATAAAACGAACTTTTCCTCCGCTTTTATGAATGAAGAACATGTTGAATCCATATGATCCTGGCGTTTTTTATTCATCGCTCCAGATTGTCTTCTTTATCTCCTCCATTTAGAAGGCCTCCTCAAGTTTATGCATTTGAGTCCCGAAAGTTTCTTAAAGTCTAATTCGAAGATAGCCTTCCATTTCCTATTTTTGCTGCTACAGTGCTTGCTGAAATGTTCATATAGCTTTCTCTTGAGTTTAGTTGGATCCCCACTCCATCCCTCACATAGATTTAACCCCTGAGTTACCTTTCTTTTCGCCCTGATCTTCACCGCTCTATGGGAAAATGCAGAATTATGGTCACCTAATTTTAGTCAAGACATTCTGGATTTTTGCCTCCATAAAGTTCCCTTTAATTTCATAGTCTCCCAAAGTTCCATTTTACATTTCTTTAGCTCCTCTTGAAGTCCTTTATCCAAGTTACAACGGCCACCTTTTTCATCCAGCTTTTCAATTCTTTTTTTCAGAAACTTGTTCTTTTTGTTGGAATCGAACAGTGGCTTATTCTCCTCGAACTGCCACCGAAGAAATTTGGACCATATCAGTACCGATAAATGTTTAAAATTGTCGTATTCTTTTCATATTAATTTTATTGTTTAAATTGATTATTTATATTATTCAAAACGTTTGGACAAAGAGATCACATAATATTATACGTAGGATCTTTTGTGGAAGGCTGTTTTGTGGAGCCTGTGTTACATGGTTTTATAAAAGATAAATATTAAAGAACTATGACGAAAACTAGTGTTTGTTTACTAGTTGAGGAAGCTTCCGTCTATTCATTAATGAAAAATCGCATGCCTTTTCATTCAAGTAATATCTACTTATTCGTTAAAAAGACATCTTTTTTCGTCAAATATATAAATAACTTTAATATGTTCACAAATCCTCACATGTCAACTTAAAGTTACATACTAAAAGTTATATCAATTCCCAAACATGAAAAATGCAAGACAAGAAAGGGTTAGGTTCGTTAGGCGATTAACTCAATTGTTCCCATTTTGTTATAGATAATTGTTCGTTATGGGACATTTATTGTGTCTTTTAGTTGACACAATTTTTAATGGAAAAATATCTCAAAGCCAATGACGAGGTCGTATTTATAGAAAAACATCAATAAGACTATGAAGAACTTCAAGTAGGTTCAAAATTAAAATCAAAAGAAAAATCAAGTTATTTGGAGTAGACGTATATATCTTAATATCTAAACTACACATTGCTTTTCAATGAAAAGGAACCATAGAAAAATAAAATTATGTCATTCATGACAATTTTTCTTATGTAATAAAGTACGTGGTTCCAAAAATCATTTAGTCTAGTGGGATGAGATACTAACTCCTTTAAGTAAAGACTAGGATTGAATCATGACGATTATGAATGGAGCAAAGTGGATTGGGAGGGTCGTCCTCACCTCTACAGTACCCAATCCGAATTAGTTAATCACTAGATCGGAAATCAATGATTATACCAAAAATATATATATAACATAAAATTAATATCATTTTTATAAAATGATCATATGAATACGTTTGTTATTCTCTTTATCATTCCTTATACTTAAAATAGGGAAAGATATCGAACTTAAATTTTAAAATAAAAACATTCACATTATTTTACGTTTAAAATGCCACTTATATTTCAATTTATTAAATAATATTAATTAATGATAGATTAGTCGAAGGAGAAAAAAGAGTCATAAAACCGTAGGGATAAGATGTGAAAAAGGTGAAACAATTAGGATGAGTGATGTAATTTATTTTTCTTAAAATTAGAAGTAGATATACCCAGTCATGACATAAAAGAATAACAAGCTGCAATATACTTGATCAATGCGGCTAATAAGTCCTATCTATTCATCTTCATCACGACAAAGTAATAGAGGTTCCCAAAACAAGTTAGGGAAGCTTCGATAAGACACTCAAGTGAGGAGTTTGGAGACATTGAAATCAATTATTAAAAGCTTGAAAGTGAAAACTTGATTTAATGTGTTTGATTAAACATAAAAATGATATAAGGTAAGTTTCATGAGATTTATAATTTTGTTTGATATTCGAAAAACGTTAAGAATATCCGAGTTACTTATATATATGATAATCGTCTTTTAGAATACTCTAAATGAGTAGACTAATCAAGTGTTAGATATTGATGTTGTGACCCAGATCTCATCATAGGTACTAAAGAAAGTGGGCCAATTGGAGGCAAGAAACCGATGTTATGTGACCTAAATCTTATCTAGAATACTTATCATAAGTTATCGCGATATGGATCTTATGATGCTGATGTGACTTCGGATTATATCATGATGTTTACTTATATTATATGCTTGATGCATATATGTTGTTCATAATTATACTTAACATGCGCATAAAATAAATACATGTAGTATAGTTGAGTTATTTGTGTGACACTAAAAACTTATTAACTTAACATTCAGAATATATTTTTATGTTTTCAGGTGAACATTCGTGGAACTTATCAATAAATTTGAGATTTTAAATTTGATCGAGCTATTAAAGTACATCTTGAATATTATTAGAAGACATGTATCATTCATTGACCTTATGTATATAAGTATTAACTTTATTTTGAAATATATTATTAGGTGCTCCTCATTTGTAAATTAATTATCATGGTTGTTAAACTTATAGAATTCATTATTACAATGATATTTATTAGTACTTATATTGAGTAAATTAAATTAAATTAAACTTGAATTAATATATATATTGAATCAAATTATTTTAGTTAATACAATCAATTAGTATTAAAAAAATTGTCCGAATCAAAAATCGAACGGAATACAAATTTTTATTAAAAATATATTAAAAAAAACTAAAAATCTATTATTTTAAAAAAATATTTAACGTTAATCACTACAAATTGTTAGTTTTAGCTGGAAAAGAAAAATGAGAAATTTGTTTAAAATTTTTAGTTAACATTTTCATTCTTTGCAGAAAATATATAAATAAAGAATAAGAATGAAATCTAGAAAGCAGTGACAGCGTCAATGGCTAAAGCACCGTCACCACCACCACATCATCTTCCTCACGGAAATGAAACAATTGAAGTTTGCACGACTTTCCCGCCCAAGGTAAATTCTGCCGTAATATGGGAAAATTCGACTTCTCCATCAGAAATTTTCAAATATTCGTTATCGATTCTGGAGATGGAGATGGTCATGGTGTTCACCGTCATACATCTCATTTATGCCATCCTCAAGCCACTTGGAGTCACCTTCTTTGTTAAAAGTCAAATAATTTAGGCACCAAATTAGGCACCAAATGGTGCTTTGTCAAAGTCAAAAAATTAGGCACTTAATTTTTGTTGAAATTGGGTAATGGGATAATTAATTTTAGTCATTGTAATTTAGGGTATTTATAAGATTAGTCCTTAAGTTTCAACTATAAATACCCTAGCTCATATAGCTTCAAAATCATCCCAAAGCATTATAGCTTTCTTACAATACTAGAGAGATTTTAGAGAGTTTCTTGAGAGTTGTTTTCTCCTTTTTATCTATAGAGAATTATCATTGTTTTCTCCTTGGTAGATCGAGAGAGGTTGTAATTCCTATTTTCTCATAGTGAAATTCTTCTACCATTGCCCGTGGTTTCTACCCTAAATTTTTAGGGGTTTTCCATGTAAATTTTGTGTCTCTTTTATCTTTATTTTTATTTTCTCAAATTATCAGTTGCGATTTTGCTCTATCCGATAGCTGTCTTCCGCAACAATTGGTATCAGAGCTAGATTAGAGTGTGTAATATCTGTTTATTGTCTTTGTGGTTGCCACCAAAAGGTAGATTCTCCAACATAAGAAAATAAGAAGTTATTACCCATTCTTTGAAGGTTCCAGAGAACTATTCACGATAGTGAAATAGTGGGAGCTATCCGTAAAAGAAGCTATGG